AAAAAAAAAAAAAGCCAATATGAGGTATGCGACTGACCAGGGCAGCAACTGTGGAACAACCCGAACACCGCTGTGGAGGAGATCTCCCCAAGGAGCTACGATATGTAACGCATGTGGCCTCTATCAAAAAGCTAGGAATACAGCCCGGCCGACAAGTCTCAAGAAACCACCGAATGTTGTTGCCGCTGGATCATCCCGCTCTACGCCGCCGAAGCCGACACCCTCTGGACCAAAGTCAGCCTCGAATGTGAATTCCGGAAATTATGTTTCTGCTGAACAAATGCCTACCGGCACCTGCCCTGGAGGTGGACGATGTAATGGAACTGGAGGTGCCGAGGGATGTAACGGATGCCCAGCCTTTAACAACAGGGTGTCAAAAACTGCCCAGCTCAACATGATGCAAAGATCCAAAGGGGGCTGCGGAAGTCGAACAGATTTATCCAATTCAGAACCTGTCCCTATTGATGTAAATGCGCTACAAACGCAAAATCAAGATGCATCCATGGTCATTGCCTGCCAAAATTGTGGAACAACTATTACGCCTCTATGGAGAAGGGATGAGAGCGGGCATACTATCTGCAATGCTTGTGGTAAGTGTCATCGGTGATTTGAGTGTACTGCCGTATACATACATAGTTTGCTATGGCATCCTGCAATGATGGAAATGCTAATGTCAAGTGCAGGCCTCTATTATAAGCTGCATGGCGTTCATCGGCCAGTGACGATGAAGAAACCAACAATCAAACGACGAAAACGAGTCATACCTGCCATGCAGGATGAAGAAATGGAGGATATGGCCGAGTCACCAGAGGCACCTAAGATGGAGGTAACTCCAGAACGAGGAACTGAAAACGAAGATGGATCAATCAACCTCGGAACCCGACGTCGACCAGATGCACATCCATTGACGATTGAACCCCAGCCTGCAGTAATGAGATCTAGCGGTCAGGTGTCTCCACTACCGTCAACGTCGGATCTCTCTGCATATCACCAGAGGAGCGGATATTCACAAAGTGTGTCGAGCCATGCGAATGAAGATAATCGACTGCCGCCGATGTCGTCCATGGCTGCCGTTTCTGAGCGCCAGTCTTCCATGTCTCCTGCCTCTTTTCTTTCTCCGCGAAGAAAGCGTTCATTTTCGACAACAGACACGGAGGTGGGCAGTAACGCTGATCTTGTTCCGGATAGTGCCAAACGGATCTCTTCCATCAAATCTATTCTGAACCCGACAGGCAGCGGTGGAATGAATCGACCTGGTAGCGCCGATATGGACGATTATACACTGCCGCCACTCAGATCTGCCGGTGGACTGTTGAACCCACACGTCCAGGATGTGTCCCCGGGTGCGGGGTCACGGAACGACGGACAGGGGCATGCGGACAAAACTGAAAACGAACGTCTCAAGGCAGAGCGCCGATTAGCACTACAGAGAGAAGCGGATCAGATGAGAGAAATGCTCGCCGCCAAGGAGCGGGAATTGATGGAACTGTGAAACAATTAATGCCTAATGCCTTGGATGGTCTTGCATGAGGGATGCGGTTTGCGAGAGTAATGGAGTGCGGTGAACCTTGGCACGTACTCATGTGCCGACGATGCCACGAGTTGCTTATGTTTTTCCTTTATCCAGGGTGGTTTCTTGGTCATTATCTTTCATTGCCAGGGAGTACGGAGTCACCAGATCAGGCAGAGAATGGCACCACAGAGCCACTTGTAGGGCATCAACATAAATCACTGCCCGATGTTTGTTTTTTATGGTTTAGCATTGCATTGGGTGCGGCACAACGCGCCCCTCGCGGGGCCAGGTCGTGGACAATCGAGCAGTATAATCGAATAGATGTTGCTTGGATAAGCCAGGAATATTGTTCCCCTTTGCTATAATCCTACTTTGCACTAATGTGTTCTAGGGTGATTTTGGTGTTTGGTCTACAGTTGGGCCTAAGCTGCCACAATTTAACAGTACGACTGTATTGAAACACTCCATTTTGGCATGTCGATTCTATGAGCGAGGAGTGGAATAACCTTTCCCCTGCAATATCTCCACTTGAACGTCTCACGGCTACGGCTACACCAATAGAGCTATTTGATGATTAGATTACTGCTAGTATCAGGTGATAACCAGTGTTTGCCTGAAAAGCTGATCAACCGTGGTGATAGAACTGGGAAGTGCGTATCAGCCGCACTCCGACCGATGTATTTCTTTATGGATTCTGTTGATGGCGTTGTGATGGTCCGCCATATGGAGTTTGCTTTATAATCGTCTTTAGTCAATATATAAGACTGTCGATTACATGGGAGGATCCTAATATGGTAACGTCCCGGCTGCCTGTTCGGCCAGGGTTGAATTAATAATGCGACCACGCTGTGGCTGCATGAGGCGGGAAGTGGGGGATCTGAATGGTGGATGATCCAAGTTTTGGCCAGAACGCACGTACATAAGGTTTGCTACTGTCTGTGCTGCTGCAACCGCCATGGCAAATGGACAGAAGGGATGTACGGATGGCTGGCGTCGATGATGTTGCGATGATTTGTTGGCATCACCGGATTTGAGTACACTATGTAGTTGCAGCCGTACATCAAACATTTCATTGATAACAATTAGTACCTGCGGAAGTGTTGCTGACAAAGGGGTTTTGCTGCAGTTGACTGTGGTTCGAATTGAAGTCCTCGATGGATTTACTTGTGAGATGTGGTCAACTTGGAAATGTTCAATTCACCGATTTTCACGGACTTGTCCCGCGTCTTCGGCGCCAGGATCGGAGGCGCACCCATGGCGAGGGAAATAGAGTTGTCATGCAGTAGAGCGACGAAAACCACCCACAACCATGTACGGAGTATTCGTTTGGCCTGCTGGGCCACGTGTGACTGAAACTGTAGTGTCCACTACTGTGTATGTCTCACTAACCTGAGAGTAGGACCAAAATTCCGACGCGGTGGTGACTCCGGTGACTCGGAGCCTAACCCGAGAGCGAAGTTTGTGGTTTGGTGAATATGCTCTTACGGTTATAGTTAGTTCCCTGTTGCCTTGAACCGAGTTAGTAGCCCCAGTCTTTGTTGTTAGCCGTCGCCAACTTGGTACAACGCTGACCCATGGAACCTTCCAGAGCCGTCTGTTCAGGAATGGCGTTAGCCAGGGCGCCAACAGTACTAGTAGTTTGTGCGAATGACTGGCTTTGCTGAGAAAGGTGACTAGGAAACGGCGGCACCAGAGAAAAAGAAGCATAAACTCATTCTGGCCATGTGGTGTTTTTGCCCTACCCCTTGACTGAGGGTTGCAGGAACCTTGGGTGGAATGCTTCCGCTGAGCATTGTACATGGGAGAAAGCGAGGCTAGATGCATCTTCCCGGTAGAACCGGGTCGAATTTAATGACGGGAGTCAATACGGGGTACGGAGTAGCTCGAGAACAGCTAACATTCGTACAAGTTTTAGACTCTAGCGCCGAGCACCGAGCACCGAAGTTTCTCCCAGTACGGAGTAGAAGCCTCCGAGTGCAGTACATATAAGTACGCTGCAGTCTATGGCGGACCGGTCTCGGTGCAAGAATGCGCCGTGACAGCTTAGGGTGAATATGATGGCGATCTGCCCGGCAGACGTGCGACTAGAGTAAAACGGTGGTGAGATAATAACCGGGGCATGCACGGAGCATGTCCCCGGAGCCATGGCATAGTTACTCTAACGTGCCTTTGTTTGACAGAGATTGACTCTATATGCCTTGGAGAGAGTACAATGACGGCAGCCCGGTGCTAGAATAACTTGGCTGCTGGGCTTGCTACGTGTAGATAGAGGGCGTCTCTGCAGAAGGCATGTGCTTGCAACATCACTCACGTATGAATATGATGTTGGCTGTCGAGATATGGAATCGTGTTTCTGTTGAGTCGAGGTTAGTGGGATATTCTGCTTGTCGTAAAGAAGAAGACTAAAGTTTGGTATCAAATCAAGGGAACCAGGCTGCATCTTACGGTGAGGATACTGAGCCACTGGAGCCCTTGCCAGCCTGGAGCTGCGTGCGCACGCGATTGGCACGACTGGGTGTGAAGCGTTCAACTACTACTCCTTTTATTATTCAGCGTGGAGTCATATCCGAGATGGAGATGCTGATGGCGTCCGGCGTGGTGGTCTATGCTGCAGCCTGCTGGTGTGAAGGAGGCAACGCGGAACGCAACGAGGACAACATGTGGGGAAATACTACGCAACGACTGTCAAGAGAAGGGCGCGCAATTGACATGTTGGCCGGGTTGGCCAATCCAAGCGGGTTCTGCAAGTTCAATCCCTGCGATAGCCGCCTGCGCCAGTGTTGGGGACCAGCGCCTTGGCCCCACGAACACTAAGGCCTGGCTGCATATGTCGAGAGTGTCGACCGATGCGCGGCCGCCTGGCATCTCATGACTCTTTCTTCGCTTCCCCCAGTGCTAGAAGCGTCTAACCGTGACCGAATCTTTGGAAACGGGAGTTGAGAGCGCTGTCTTTGCCTCCACTTTTCGGCGCCTTCCTCAGCCCATGTACGGAGTTGCACCTGCCGGCTATAACAGAATTCCTTGGTCCATCCTTCCTAATCTGTACTGTCCGCCTGTTGAACAAAACTGAGGCTGGCCCCATCCGTCTTATCATTCCCTCCTTCTTGCTACATTCTCATCATATTCATCGCTCATTGAAAGCGAATGTCCTTTTGAATCTAGATTGGAACGACAGGTTCGTTGGCTAGCGTCATCACCCGCAGCAGCCGCTTGAGCATTGTCCTTTCTTTCAACCACCTGGGGCCGTTGACGGCTTTATTGTTCTACAATTACACGGCGGCAATCACATTTGCCGCCTTCGGAAACCAACCGGCGTCCCTATTTGAGCCACATCCCAGTTCCTGTGCGCCCTTCCACTTATTAGGGCCTCGTTTGACATTGACGAATGGGACATCCACCGGTTCCTTGAAGGAAGCATCTGGTATTGCGCGCCCTTTTGTGGTCGCAGCTTTTAGTCTCCTTCGTTCCTTGACACATGTCACACAACATGGCCTTCGTTGACGAGATGGACGAGTTCGTCAATTGGGACAAGGCTGGTGCCTGTGTGGGCACAGAAAGCTTCTCCCAAGAAGCGACCCTTGCTGGCATGGATGACGGCCTGGATACAGAAAACATTGGCCTCGTCTTGGCTAATGTGAATGAGGATGACTTCAGTTTCCATGCCTTGCAGCATTTTTCACAAAACCCCAATCCTCTTGGAGCTGACCTGCCCATGGACGGTACACCCGCGTTAGACCTTGCCGAGCATGTTACAAACCCGTGTGCGCACTGTGCCTCGGGAGGCTTTTCCTGCAAAAAGATCCAGGAAGGTCGTTACAAGGGCTACTGTACGAGCTGTGTTGCTCTTCGGGTCGAGTGTAGCTTCGGAGGAGCCATGTCTGATGCAGTCGACATCGACGCTCCTACTAGCGTTTTCCCGGCTAACCCATGGCCCATTATGGGCAATCATCCGAATACCATCACGACCCAAGAGCTTTTCCCAGATATGGCGCAACCCAACTCTCTTCCTTCGTCAGCCTTGGACTTTCTCAACAGGTCGGCTACACCGGCCGATGAGAGTGGTAATTCCGGGGCCCCTCGAGCAGGGCCACCTCCCAAGATTGGGGCTCGGTTCTCCAGGGAATCTGTGAGAATCTTGAAGAATTGGCTGTCTACTCATAATCGACATCCATACCCCAGCGATGAGGAGAAGGAGGCATTGCAACGTCAGACGGGCTTGAATAAGACTCAGATCACCAACTGGCTGGCCAATGCCCGGCGAAGAGGCAAGGTGCAACCGCCTCGTTCAACCTCACCTCATGTTGGCAACTGGGCGGCATCTATCGACATCCCTCAGAGACGCGGGACGCCAGCCCTGGAAGCTATGAACCCTTTACAGCGTTGGGAGCATTCACCTCCCGAACACGAACCAGCGTCTGTGACCGCCATTGCAAGGGCTGTCACGGCTTCTTCGTCGTCGGCCTTGTCGTCGGGTCTTAACAGTCCCTATAGCTTCAATTATACCGATGACGGCTCAAGCAGGTCGCTTTGCAACCAGTCATCGACTAGCAGTTTGGGTACATCTCACTCCAGCAATGGATCTCGAGGATCTGCATACTCTCATGGATCACGCAATTCTTGGGGATCCTTTGGTTCGGCCCCATTTAGTACCCGTGGACGCCGGAGACGGCGTAGGCGTGCAGCCCCCAAGACTACCAGTGACGGCACAAATGGCCTGGCACCTCCCCTCAAGACTTTCCAGTGCACTTTCTGTACCGAAACATTCAGAACAAAGCACGACTGGCAACGGCATGAGAAGTCTTTGCACTTGTCGTTGGAGCGCTGGGTATGCGCCCCGGACGGCCCTCGTGCAGTCAATCCGGACTCTGGCATTCTTTCCTGCGTCTTTTGCGGGCTCGAAAATCCAGATGATGGCCACATCGAAGCTCACAACCACTCAGCATGCCAAGAGCGAACCCTTGAAGAACGAACATTCTATCGCAAAGATCACCTGAACCAACATTTGCGGTTGGTACACAACGTCAAGTTTATGGACTGGGCTATGAAGCAATGGAAGGTGGCAACACCAGAGATTCGGTCTCGGTGCGGTTTCTGCGGCATCGTCATGGATACATGGACCATCCGAGTTGACCACTTGGCGGAACACTTCAAGACAGGTTACTCCATGGCTGACTGGAAGGGTGACTGGGGTTTTGATGTGCCTGTTCTTGATATGGTTGAGAACTCTATTCCCCCGTGTATGAGGCCTTTGCAGTATCCCGTAGACCAGTTGCCGGTGTCTAACTTTTAAGAAATAGATCTGATTCATCATGAACGCGTATCTCCCCTGCCATACGTAGCTTCTCACTCCCCGCCAGAATCGCCGCGCAACGCCTACGACCTGATCAAACTGGAACTGGCTTACTTCGGCGCCAATCACTGGGAGCAACACCACGGAGCACCGAACGACGACGACATGCGGCTGGAAGGATGCCGTATCATTTTCGCTTCAGAATTATTGTCCCTGCAAGGTATTGCGACACAGAATTCGTGGCTTCGTGATCTCATCATGTCCAACGCGGACATCGCACAGAAGGCAAGGTTTGGTCCGTTACGTGGAGCCGCTGAAAGCAGACTTGCTTCCTTGAAGATTAACGGCAAGGACAACTTATTCGAGGAATGTCCTATGGAACGACAGCTGCATTCCTTTGTCACTGCGAAGCGGCTGTTGGGGCTGACGGCTATGGACGACGAGCTGCAGGAAGAAGCATGTAAGATTGTCGGTAGGGTGGAGGAAGTGTGCACCCATCCGTCTGAGACGGTTGCCAATTGGCTCCTACGCTTGATTACCTCGTCGACTGAATGGCTAGAACCGTTTAGACGTCGGGCCAATTTGCCACGAAGTGAAGACGTCCAGCACCAAACCGTTCGGTCCAAGGACCCAAGATCTATCGACTCGACTATCCACAGCCACTCTCGCTTGGAACGGGAGCTGGCAGATTACCTCAGGCAGCAGCGGTCTATTGGACATGAGCCAACGAATGAGGACCTGCAACGACAAGCTCGTATTATCATCTACGAGTTCGATGATGGATGGAATCAAACAGCTGCCGACAGTATTCACTGGCTTGAATCATTCAGAGATCGACACCCTGAAGGGGGTTCCCCCAATAACGCGCCTACCACGACGACAGACTCTTACCCTGCCACAACCACTGTAGCTAGTACCGGACCAACGTCGTGTCACAAATCACCCAAGTCCACTGAGGAGCCCCCAAATCATTTGACCCAAAATGACTTTCAACATCTGCTCTCGATTGATAGGAACGGCAGGGCCATGCCTTTCTTTCTGAATGATGCCAATTGCTACCGGCGTCTAGCCAAGGAACTGAGACGTTGGGTTAAGTCGACCATGTCTCCCAACAACCCCAATCGGCACACCCCGACTGACGATGAGCTGCAATATCAAGCACGATGGATTCTATATGATGAGTAAGTCCACATGAGCGCATCCTATTACTTCTAGCGAACTGGTAACCAACACATGACAGTGATGATCCTTGGAACCAGACCGCTGCCGACAATGCTGAATGGCTTCAACGATTCAAACGTGATGTTGGCATTGCTAAGGACCCAGGTCCAGGTCTACCAAAGGGCTACTCGTGGTCACTATCGCAAGGCGGATCGGGGTTTGCGCCACCATATGCCTATCCCAAGGGCAGCGTTGAACCGTTCCTTGAAGACGTCGAAGTCAACATGCGCGATGGCGCCAAGGCGTTTAAGGCTGGACATGACGCCGCAAACCAGTTTCTGGAAACGTTGCTATCCGAAAATAGCCGCCCGGCAAATGTGTTCTGCTCTCGTGAGCTGGAGGCTGGGCTAGTGCAATTTGTCAAGAAGAATGTCACAGATACTGGGCGCCTACCTACGGATGCAGCCATGCAGATGCGTGCAAAGGACATTGTCAACGCAATAGAGACAGCGGCCGATGACCCTGTCCTGCTAGAGAAGTTCAAAGCTTGGATGAAGAATCAACTGCCACACGCTCTACCCGCCGACGACGACCAGACGAGCCAGCAGCCTTCCTTGCTGCCAATGAATATGGACATGAATATTACCGACGCAGAGCTGGGCGATATATTAAACGACATGGACTTTGATTTTGATGTCAATGCGTTGGAGACGGGTCTACAAGAACAAGATGAAGAGTCGGGTGGGGTGAGCCTTTTCCAGGAACCATCTGTCTACGAATAAACGGCGGAGTTGGAATCACCATAAAAGGGGGGAGGCCTGAAGTGGACTCGTCGATGTAATACCTATCATAGGAAGGGCGCATACTCAACATATTAGTGTTTGGATACATGATGGGTGGCAAAGGCGTTTTGTATTTCGTACCTAGCAGCACTACTACGTAGTACCTAGGTAGTTAGCTAGCCGTGTTTTGAATCAATCGATCGCTCTGCTCATTGGCGCAATTAAACTCGCATGGCACGTCTGGAGATCACCATGCAATATCCAACATGGATGTCGCCCAACCAACCAACTGTAACCAGCTTGCCACCCTCCATCCACGCACCCCGCCGATTTGACCAGAAGTCGTCGCAAGTAACTTACTCTGCAGCCTAGCATCTAGTTGAATCGGCCGCCCGACTTGATGGCGACGCCGCGGCGCCGCTAAGGCCGATAAGGGCAGGAAGGTTGTTGCTTGGGGTTGCGTGCCGAGCCGCCGGATCAACGATGAGCTGGACGCTGGATGTGTCCACTGGGTTAGTGGCGTCTTGAATGTTGCTGTTGGCTTGCAACATACAACCAGGGCAAGATTGACTGTCGACCAACGAGTGCAAATGTACCTGCCTAGGTAGGTAGTAGTAGTACTAGTACATATGTGCATACAAATGTCATATTGTAGGCCCACACCAGGGCCAGTTGACAGGGAAAAGAGTCAATCTGTCGCATGGCGGCATGAATATCGCGTACATATGTACCTTTGTGTCCACAAACAATCAAACGGGTTCACACACTTGCCAGGTTCAGAAGTACGGACGGAGTAGGTACATAGGTACATAGGCGGCCAGCTGCGGAGTACGGAGTCGGCAGGTGGGGATTTCGACAGCTCTTGCCCCAACTGCGCAGCTTCGGTGGCAAGCGGGAATACCAACCAGCGCTCGGTGCGCCAGCCTCGACAGCACATGTACATACGGATTGTCGACTCCAACATGTCGACCCTTACTCCGTACAATGTGCCGGCTTGCCAATGCCCCTCGACAGCCTCGCCACCAGGGCTCAAGTGCTCTCCTTGCATCTGACCACAAACCACTCGCCAGCGCCTTCTCCCAGACGCTTGAGTGTCCTGCCGTCGCCGCTAGCTCAGACACGGGGAGATTTCCTTCTCATCCGACCAACGGGCCAACCAACCCCTCCACCTGCCTGCGGCCCTGGGCGAGCTCGAGTAGCATTTGACCAGGAGCATCACTGCATCACTGCCTGGCTCGGCAGGGACCATGCCTACATACTTGTGCCATGGATTTCGGTGGTACCGCCGCAGCATCCGTATCTTCATCATTCTCAACGACCTCGACGACTGCACGCCAGACTGGATCATCGGACGAGACACGGCCGCCTTTATTCTCAGCCAATTCGCCGAGTCGTTTGACTTTGTACCAAGGCTAGAAAACGAAGACGGCACCGTCACGCGACCAGAGTCCAACGAGACGACGCCCACACGAGAGAAGCGGCCACAGTCTTACGACGATGATTTGGACATGCCTGTATCCAAGGTGTCTGCCGCCGAGGACAGTGTACTCGTACATGAATGGTCACCAGTAAAGCTCTTGGAGGAATACCATGTGGAGGAAGCGGAACATGCTGCGAGGCCATACGCCTACGTGGCCGATCATGTTGTCCGGGTGGATCTCGGGGTAGACATTGTGGCAGAAATGGCAAGGTACGAGAAGACGGTCAAGCAAACTCAGTCGCAGTGGTTTGAACAGCTACGTGCCCAAGTCCAAGCGGAAGAGCAATCACGGTGGTATGTGGTTGTATGTGACGACACAGATCGGGAGGCACCAGAAGACTACGACGACGGAGATGAAGAATTGCCCGAGATGGAAGCAGCTCGACAACCTCAACCTCAACCACGACCACGACCACAACCACAGGCAGGTTCATTATCAAGGACAGGTACGTCGTCGTCCTTGGCAGGCGATCGACTAGACTCGGGCGACGCATTGGACGACTCGCCAGAGAGCAGACCGGACGTACCAATGAAGCCCAAGTTCCTTGGCCAGGATCCCTTCAAGAAAGAGCTGCCGCCAACTCCGCGATTAAAGAAGAAGCTATCCATACGACGATTATTTTCCAAGAAGGATCCATAGCCAGACGTGAATAAACGTCTCCTATTGACGAGGGCCATGATGAAGACGCGATACGAACTTTGCGGGCACGAGGCGTAAGGAGGAATTAGACGGCGTTGGTCATGAAGTTTTTCCCAAGTGACGCGCTGTAACGGGACACAATGTGCTGTGAAAAGTAATCTAGGTGAAGCGCTGGCGAATGTGAGATTATTTGTACATTAAAATAATATTTTCTTTTAAAAAAACTTTCCCAAGGCCCTGTAAGGCGACGTCATGTCCTAGTGAACTTGGCCGTATATAAATACAATCCATGGTCGGAGACACTTGGGAAACCAAGATGGGCTGTCTCGACATGGGCGTCTGCTCATCACATAGACAGGCATTGGCATTCGTGTCATAACCCTCGGCTGGATATACAGCCCTGAATCCCAATCCCGTAATTCAATCACCATCATGTCCGCCATGTTTGCCTTGATCTGCTGCGCGGCCGAATGACGTCGCCATCACGTGTGGAGCTCCCAACTGGCATCCAACCTCGCATGTCGCCGTCGGTTCAATGTTCGTCTCACCCTCACTCTCACATCCAGCTCTGCCCACGCCCAACGCCCAAATATCCATCCTCATGTAAGGCTCACCACGGCATCCCCCCAGCGCACAACCGCAAGCAGTGTGCGTGGCGGCGGCCCCGGCCAGCTCCATTGAAGCCGTCGCACCTCCCGACGGGACGGGGCCTCGGTGTGCCCCGACATTATCGAAACCCGAAACAACCACCCAGCAAGCAAACATCCCATGGCCCACGCCGGCCGCCGCAGCCCCTTGGACCCGGGCGAGGCGTCCCCGTCCTTTGCACAGACCGGCGCCGAGTTCAGGCTCGACGACAGCGACGACGAGGCCGTCATCGACGAGTTCGACCTGCGCCATGAGGCCGCCCGCGGCGTCGAGGCCTACGAAATGGTCGAGCGGGACGCCGCGCGCAGACGCATGAGCGCGAGCACCGTCGCCAGTTTCCAGCTGTACACGCCCGACGAGGACCTGGCGGTGCGGACGAAGTTTGACAGGAAGCTGGTGCTGTTTGTGGCCCTCCTCTACCTGCTGAGCTTTCTGGACCGGTCGAGTACGCTGCCCTGCCCGACGCAATTCGCCTACGCAAGCTGACGCCGTGTACACAGACATCGGCAATGCGAGGATAGCCGGCATGGACGAGGACCTGCAGACGACGCCGCCCCGAGACGACTGGTACGAATGGGCCCTGACGGCGTTTTACATCTCGTACATTGCCTTTGAGTGGATGTCGCTGCTGTTCAAGCTCGTGCCCGCCCACGTCGTCGTGTCCATGACGGTCCTGGCATGGGGCCTCACGGCGTCGCTGCAGGCAATTGCGCCTTCGTATCCGGTCCTGATCGCGCTGCGGGTGCTCCTCGGCATCGGCGAGGCGGGATTCACAGGCATCCCCTTTTATCTGAGCTTCTTCTTCAAACGGGAGGAACTGGCCTTTCGCACAGCCATATTCATATCAGGTACGCACCCCAACCTACACATACACCTAGGTATATGAATATATATACATGTATACACACATATACACCAAAGAAGCCCTGCTCCCCGAAACCGCAACAACTAACAAAACAAAAAAAAAAGCCGCCCCTCTCGCCACCAGCTTCGCCTCAACACTCGCCTACATCATCGTCAAGTTCGCGTCCCTTTCGCCCATCGCCCCCTGGCGCCTCCTCTTCCTCCTCGAAGGCCTGCCGTCGGTCCTCGCCGCCGTCGCCGCATTCACCACGATCCCGGACTCGCCCTCATCAGCGCCGTACCTCACGCAGCGCGAGAAAAAGGTCGCCCGCCTCCGCCTCCGCCGCGACCACCACCGCCCCTCCCGCGCGCCCCCCCCCGCCACCACCCCTCCTCGCACCAGCCTCACGAGCCCGCCTCGGGCCTCCAGCCCCGCGACCTGCTGCTCGTCTTCGCAGACCCCGTCGCCTGGCTCACGTCGGCCATGTTCTTCCTCACCAACATGGCCTACTCCTCCCTGCCCGTCTTCCTGCCCAAGATCGTGGCCGACATGGGCCACGACGCGCTGGCCTCGCAGGCGCTCTCGGCGCCGCCCTACCTCGTCGCCTTTGTCGTCGTCCTGCTGACGGCCCACGCGTCGGACCGCCTCCGCGCGCGCACCGTCCCCATTGTCCTGCACGCCTTGGCCTCGGCCGCGGGCTACGGCGCGCTGGCCCTGGCCGGGCCGCTCCGTCTGCCCCCGTTCCTGAGGTACCTGGCCGTGTACCCCGCCGCCGTGGGCTTCTTCAACGTCGTCACGCTCATTATAGCGTGGAGCATAAACAACCAGGCCAGCCAGACGAGGCAGGGCGGCGGCTTTGCCGTCCTGCAGCTCATAGGCCAGTGTGGCCCGTTGGTTGGCACGAGGCTGTATCCGGATAGAGACGCGCCCTATTATACGAGCGGCATGGGTGCGTGTGCCTTGGCAATGTTGGCCGTTGCCGTCTTGGCCGTTGTTCTGAGGTGGTATCTGCGGTACAGGAACAAAAAGATGGACCAGAGAGGGGTGGACAGCGAGCACGACGAGTATACCGTGGAGGAGGAAGGGCTTGTTGCCTCTGGGAAACGGAAAACAGAGCCAGCTCACTCCTTCAGGTACATGTTGTAAAATGTCCATACAATGATGGCAAAGTTTGTATTGTTGTGATGAGAATGGCGCTCTTGCCTCTTGTCTAATTATTTATAAAAGCTCCTTGAATCATGCCTCTAACACTGTCCCCACTGTTGATTATTTAGCACGAAACATCCAGGACGGTGCTCGATATCTCGTCACCCCATCTTTCCACCACTCTTGATTCCCTGGACCACTCTCATACTTGAAGACCCCGTATGGCTGGGCGGATTTGTCCTTCACATCATCAGCTGGTTGTGGTCGTTGTCGCCGCCGCCCAATTCCTGTCCATGCCCTAAACTCACCAAATCTTCGCTGGTGCTTGAGGCGACGATATGCCTCAGTCAGGCGACGGCTGCTGTCGTGATATATATTCACCGCCCATTGACGAAAGGCCACGAGGCGGGGGCGTTTGGACAATGACTTGGTCAGGCTGCGAAGAGAAAACTGCGAGGCCTTTCGCTTGGAACTAAAGGTCTGGGCAGCACGCGCAAAAGTAGGACCATCTTTGGGCTCTGGGCTTCGTCGATCTGCGTCTATAGTGCCATCATACCAGAACAGGTCAGAGCCATCTCCTGGAGCCATAATTTCCCGATTACTGGTGTCGGCGATGGCGTTCGACGAGGGTGAACTTGATCGGAGATTTGGCAATGAAAAACCAGAAAGACTGAGTCTATTGCCACGGCAGTACTCAGCCTCTGATACTGGAGATTGGACTCGCGGCGTATTATGACCAGGTGACGGATATGCAGACGAGGCACTCCAGATATTCGATGGTTTGCATGCATGGGCCGAAGGGCTGATACACAGCCCACGATCCACCATGTCAAGGAAGTCATCCGACTCTGGGGCTAAATGGCATGGCAGTAGTACCGATGGAGGACGAAGCTCATGGCCGATATCTGGTATATGGGCATCTAGTTCTTGAAGATCATAGGCCGGCGGGGACAGGGGACGCAACGCGCAAAGTGCTGGTGGTTTGGGGCTCCAAGTAGCAGAGTTGACGGGACTCTATGCCGACGACGGATCTTCATGCCCTACTGGAGGGGGGGTATAGTGCGATGGAGACGCGAGTTGAGCTATCATGATGATTGTTGATACTGGCCAAATGTTGTGAAGGAGCAGTGTTGTGATGAAGCGTTGCGAAAGGAAGAAGTCAAGTCTGGTTGGTGTTATATACAGATGGTGCCTGCCACATGTGACTTTAACAGCCGGGAACAGCTGGGGCCAACTGTAATGCCAAGCACTGCCAGCTGCGAGGGTGGCCTTGTATGTGCCCAGTAGCTTCACGTGCATGGGGATTTTTTTAAATACTCTTAGGTGACTTGAGTATCTTTTAACATACTAGTAATATCTTTAATTAGTTAATCCCTGGTCGTTACAAAAATAGCACCTGCGCACAGCCAAAGGGATAAAGAACTCTGCACCACGGTTCTGGAGACGTATGCGTCGGGGCTGGGCTGCGCGAGCGACTTTCCCCGGCAGACAATTTCACATCCCAAGGGCTCCTTGATTCCTGGGACAAACGACACTCTCTCTGGTCAAGGGGGGCTGGCGCTCTGCTGCGACGGCCGCCGTAGGCAAGACCATGTTAATACAAAATAGGAATGGCAACAGCCACGAGCGCAAGTCGACGGCGGGAAATGAGAAGTGGTCAATCGCGGAACCGACGAACCCGACGATGCCACGAGAGAGCCAACCCCGGGCGCGGCTGGACGAGTTCAAGGCTCAGTGGCCCAAAATACCGCGGGTGACTCCATCCGTTGTCATCAACAGGGTCATTGGCTTGGCTCTTTGGCGCCCCCGCACTGGTTACCCTTTAATCGTGCCAGGTTGGGAATATAGGGCCGACGGCTAGGTCAACTATTGGAGAGTCATGAGCCAAGGGCTCGAAAAGCGAGTGCGAGCCGACGAGGGACGGGTAGCGGTCCCGGGGGAAGGCTGAACTGACTGGGACCATGCCATGTGCTAGCTTGGGGACTGCGTCGCATATTCCCCCGGCAATTATACTAGTGGGAGTTGATCAACGGGGTTGTCAACTCAAAATAGAACGTCAAGACAGCCAAGTGGAACAGCACTCGAGCTCTCCCAGATGCCAACGGTTCCCTACCAAAATACATACATATCCAAACGTTGAGCATGGGCATCGTCAGTCAGGCGAGACGAGTTGACGACGAGTCTCGCTCTTGTCCATGGTTAGAGCACCATGGCAACGTCTATCTAACAACCATCAAATCCCCAAACTCCCTTCTGTCCAGACACGTCATAAAGAAGCCACAAGAAGCTCCAAAGTATATCTCGGTGCATCAGCGACAGTCCAACCCACGCCACAAATACAGATGGCTTGGCTCGCTTGCACACTGGCCACAACAACAGTGGCACACCACCATCTTTGCTTCGCAACGCACGCCCAATCGCTCCACTTACGTGCTGGAGTCCCGATCATGATCAAGCCCGTCTGACGCAATGTGCCCCAAAGGTCGGTGCCTAGGTCGACCCAGGCCGTCCTCAGATTCGCCCAAGGTCGACACGTACCCTGAGCCCACCATCAGTTAGTCACGCCTGTTTGTGGCATTATACGACGCATCCAGATCTTCATTCACGCTTCGGCCAGCCTCGTAGGGCGCAGCCATGTGCAGTCGTGAACAGCCAGGGGTCCCGTCACCTCCCCCTCCCTGCCACCTTCAGCCGCTCCTCGTTGGAGTCGCACTGATTACCCGATACATGACCCCGGGGGGCTGCCGGGTTCTCCCTTGATAGCAGATACTTAGGTCCACTGGGGATATTCAGCTGGTGGGCGAGGTTGCTTGTTATCCGTAAGGCTTGGACGACTTGTATCGAGCGTCATCTCCACTTGGAGCGTTATGGTAGACGCAGTCGGTGGAAGCGCTTTGTTTGGCGCATCAAGATTGTCCAAGTGGATTCGGTTTGCGGCTCTCGCTTCAGAAAGCGAGTGGATGTACGTGCTTGTCTTGTCGTTTTCAAATGTGCATTTATAATACTGGGGGCTTGTCCCATGTTCTTCCTGTAAGAGCTCCATTTCCATGTCGCAAGTGGTCATGGTATAAAAGAGGACCCTGTGGTCCTTAAAGAAATCGACGCTTTTGAACGAGTTGGGAAAGAAGGCGTATTTTGACTCTTCTCCCCCCCCCTCCCATCTTCTGGAAGCTGTTGAGCGAGCGTGTCGAGGTGAATATGGGCGACAAGCCGAATAGCTCGGGCTCTGGCTCGAGGCCACGCACAAGACAGAGGGTATATAAGCCTCCGCCGCCGCTGGAGGTACCGGATATCGAGGAGGACGCGGCAGAGAGAAAACGGATATTGAATGTGCTGGCGCAACGGAGATATCGTACGTGTTTGGAACCCACCCCCGCGTGTTGTTCAAGGAGGCATATTCATCTCTTGATGTCGTCTTGTGTTTCGTTTAGGAGAAAAGAAGAGACAGAAGCGTATGAGAGGGAGCAGCGACTCAAAAAGCACCTCACAAGAACCCGAAGATGAACACGCTCAGCTGGTCGAGGAGATGCCCGTCGATACTATAGAACCCGTCGACACCGGCATTCAGAGTCCCGGCTCTATCTTCGGCATCGACATGTGCTTTACCAACTGGGACATGCTCACCGACCCGACTCTCTCGTCCATGATGCCCGATGTAATTGGGGTATTTTCCGATTTCCCCACGGCCGCGGCCGTCGATGACGGGTCAAGTGGTGGCGGCGGCGATGGTATCCTCACGGCATCCTCCTCGTCGGGCTCAGTCCCCCCGTTTACCACGATGTCCAATGTAATGTTTGGTTCACCGCCATCCCTAGATAGCTCATCAAACTCATCGTCCGATGTCAGCTTCCCCGACAGCTACCTCTTGCCCGTCCATGAACTGACACTTCTGCGTGCCATGCTGCGTATAGCGGACCGGCTTGGATGCAAGGGCTCACTTTGGAGCCTGGATGCTCTGTCGCCCTTTAATCAAGGAATCGCGACACCGCCAGATCAACTTCCCCGGCCATGGCGTCCAACTCCCTCACAAGTTCTGATCCCGCACCACCCGCTCTTCGACTTCCTGCCCTGGCCCAGCGTCCGGGACAAGATCATCGGCATCCTCTCGCTCCCCGACGACGCCCGCCCGCCCACCGCTTCTGGCCCGCTCGCCCTCGTCAACTTCGCCTACGATTTTGAGGACAATGCCGAGGGCGTGCGCATCTACGGCTCCGACCCTTACGACCCCAATTGCTGGGAGGTCGGCCAGGTCTTGTTTCAGCGCTGGTGGTTCCTGTTTGATCGGGACATTGTCGACAACAGCAACCGGTGGAGGAGATTACGGGGGGCGCCTCTGCTGGCTTTGACGGCTCCTGGTGTGGAAAACTAATGTACGTGCGTTCTTATTTGGGGGAGCGAGCTAGCTTGCGTATGTATGTATGTGTGTGTATGAGAAAGAGAGAGGGAAAGAGAGGTAGTCGCTTCATCGTGTCTTATTTTTAGAAGGTTACAGAGAAGGCAATATCCCGGAGTTGGCCAGCAGGTGTTTGCTTTTTGCTTTTTGTATGGCTCTTGATTGAATATAGCCTCAACTTCTCAAGCCAATACTTTACTCACCACGGGCAGAAATTTCAAAATTCGCCCAACATATCTGATGTGCCTACGCTTGATGGAGTATGTATGCGCCGGTTGTGACTCATTGTCAATCGATAGCTGCGGCTGTGGATGATACGTGTAGTGTATAAGACGCTGCTCCCCCGGCTCGAGCCAACTATGAGCCGGGTCCTGGTATCATCGCCACCTTAAATATTCAACTTGCCCGTGTTTCCGGGAGAGCTAGCTCCAGCAAGACTTCGACGGCGACAACCTCGATGCAATGTTTCCTGAGGAACCCGCCGCCGACTCGGAGGGAAATGAGAAGTGAGCTAGCCCATTGCTTGGCTAGCAGCACCAGAATATCCCATATACTGGATAAGACGGTGGGCAGTTAGACTCGGCGAATACCCACGGATGGAAGGGATGTCAAGGGTGTTGCGGTTGATATTCTCAAGCATCATCTGAGTTATCGCACCACGCAGACGGTGATTATTTGATAAATACAACAACCACGCCAAGCATGCTGGGTTACTATTTTGACGAAGCGCAGTCAGCTCAAATCTCCACAGTCGTCACCGATGAGTCAAACCTTGCTTAGTCCCCGTACATTTATTCCAATCCCCCGCTTTGCCCAGCGTGAAAAGACACGGGGTTCCGCTGTGAAATTGACTTGATTTATCAATTCCAAGAGTGTACTGCTTCTTGTTGTCTAGTTTCCGTTGCAACAGCCCCAGCCGTAGACCATGTCCTTTACACCGTTCGTGCTTGTCACCGACAGGCTCATCTTTGTGCCTACGCCAATGTCCGAGTCCATCAAAGGCTACCGAGACTTGTTCAAGAGATTACATGAAGACCATTCATTCTGCGACATGGGATTCGGAGACGCATTTCCCGCCCGGGCCTGGACCGACGATGAGATCAGAAATGTGCTCATGGCGGGGGATATCTCTCGTCGTTGGAACAAGAGGAACATGGGCGACTTTGCCGTCGGGCTGCTGCCAACCACAGCCACGGGAAACCTATTGTTCAGCTCCGGCGAAGGGAGGAAGCTGAAGAAGTCGCCAGAGAATATCCGCGTCATCGAGCTCAATCGATGGGACAACCCAAGCTGGCAGAACGACGTCGAGTGGGTTGGCTATTCCTGCGCCCGGGACTGCACGGCAGCACTCCCGCCCCTTGACGAGGGGGAGGCTCCCTTGCCGCCATGGCAAGAAATGTTGGAGATGCGTTATGGCGTGAGCCCCGAGCACTGGGGTAAAGGACTGGCTCTTGAGGCATCCAAAGTGGTGATGCAGTGGGCTATTGAGGAGAGAGGTGCCCGGCGATTTATTGCTGAGACGCAAAAGGGGAACAGCAGAAGCCGCCGAGTGCTGGAGAAGCTGGGATTCCAGATGGTCGATAGCAATTACTTCAAAGAAAAGGACGTCTTGGACGAGTGGGAAATGGTGGTGGCATAGAGCACAGCGGCCGGTCAATCAATGCTCACCGAGCATTCTCAAGCTCTTATCGACTCCCTGGCGGCAACGACAACTGCCGAGCATTGCCGCCTTGAAACGAAACTTGGAAACAAGACCACCGGCAGGCTTGTGCCGATTGGCAGAAAACACCATGGTTCTCAGATCCGTCCGATCTTATCGTGACTTGACCTTGCCGCCCGATCCGACTTGGCGTATCCTCCCAGTAGCTCCAGCTGACTTGTTCCAAGAATATGTAGCAGAGATTGAGTGTGTCCAATAGATGTCTGAGCTTTGAACCGGCTAGTGCCAAACGCCATTCGGGAATCCCTATCTTCAAGGTTGAAGGAGACCGCACTGACGGGAGTTATGGGCTGTGGATCGACGAGGGACCAAGCGTTCGGTTGTGAAACTGCCGAGCCATCACATCACATAGCTGACATGTCGTTGATAAATATGAACTTGAAATACGAGACAAGTTGTAATCCTACCATGCCAGTTTATCAAGTTCGCCTGCCAACTTTTTGTTTTGTTTATACGGCACGGTGATCAACTCACTGTCTCTTATTGCGTGGGCTACACTGATTATCGGATTATTCAAGCATCAGACAAACAACAACCCAAAGAGCAATGGAGGCCGGTCAAAGTGACGGAATGAAACGCACATGCACCATGACATGCTGCGATTATATCCTGTCGCGAATAACTACCCTGCGGCCGCCTATGGACAGAGTTACAAGTCCTATAAAAGCTCTTCGCATGCTCGACCGCGAGCAATGGAATTTTTTTGGGGTGAGTTTCCGGGATATGATTCCTGACCGAGTATTTTGTTAACATCTAATATACGCAGTGTGCCTGGAGTGGCTGGATTATGGATTCCTTCGACTTCTTCACCGTCAGCTTGACATTGCCACAGCTTGCAGCCGAGTTCAACAAGAAAAACTCCGACATGACATGGGGCATTACCCTGGCATTGATGTTTAGGCCGCTGGGCTCGTTTCTTTTTGGATTCTTATCCGATCGCTACGGGCGCAGGTGGCCGTTTGTCATCAACAACTTGATGTTCATTCTCCTCGAGCTCGGGACTGGGTTTTGTAAAACGTATAATCAGTTCCTGGTCTGCAGGGCCTTTTTCGGAATTGCCATGGGAGGAATTTATGGCAACTCCGTAGCAACGGCCCTGGAAGATTGCCCTCACCCAGCGCGAGGATTCTTGTCCGGCCTGTTCCAGTCCGGCTATCCGCTGGGATATGTCTTAGCTACGGCAATGAACCGAGCTCTAGTTGACACGACAAGATATGGATGGAGGCCGCTATTCTGGTTCAGTGCTTGCCCGCCCGTCTTCATCATCGTATGGAGGTTGAGGCTCTCTGAGACGAGAGCCTTTCGAGATCGCAAGATGATTTCCAAGACTCTGTCCGACAACACCCCTACTTTCATGGACAAGGCATGGATTGCTCTCCGGGACTACTGGCTTTCCATCCTATACATGGTGGTTTTGATGAGCGGCTTCTCATTTGTTGTATGTCATAGTATTTTCAAGACGTCTCATTTTTACCAACGTGTTTTACTGACCGTAGATTGGGCCAGTCTCATGGCGCACAAGACCTGTACCCGACAATGCTCACTACCGAGTTTGAGCTTACGCCGAATCAATTGACAGTCACGCAAGTAGTAGCAAATATGGGGGGGTTCCTCGGTGCCATCTGTGTTGGCAATCTGTCCGAGATTTTCGGGCGCCGGCTAACCATCATGGCCTCTTTAACTGTGGCTGCAGGAGTACTATACCCGTACACAAGAGTTCAGACGCCGGGTCTGACGGTGGCTGCTTTCTTCCTCCAGTTTGCCACACAAGGTGCATTTGGAGTTCTTCCAAGTCATTTGATGGAATTGTCCCCAGCAGACATCCGGTCCATTGTGGTAGGCACTGCATATCAACTTGGGACCATGGCGTCAAGCGGCTCGGCAACAATTCAGTCTGAAATAGGCGAACGCTATTTCCCACTTCCGCCAGGTCCATCTGGTCAACAGCGCTATGACTATGGCATAGTCATCTGTGTATTTCTGGGCGCGGCTATAGCTTTGGTGGTGATGACGACCTTTATTGGACCAGAGCACAAGGGACGCGAATTCGGGTTGGACAGTCAGGAGGCCTTCGAAGTTATAATGACGAGGGACCAAATGCCATCAACATCCAAGTCTGATAAATCATTAGCTGAAGCAGAGAAAGCCTAAAGGGCAAGCGTTGGCGTGTTGCGAGTTGTTGTAATTGAATATTCTGCTTAACATTGTGCGATTTGTAATGGCCTGCATGGTCCATTGTCGTCGTCGATTATGCCATTCGTACAAGACGTGAATCTACACCATCAAGGCCGCCAAAGGACTCTGAACGAGGCATTGGGACGCCAATCAATCGGCCTTCTGCGAAAAGGAGTCACTTGGCAAACACCGACTCCCTCCGAGTTATTTTCCGGCTTATAGAAACACATGCCGCCGAAGGTATGATTGGGGCGGTAGGTGGTTCCTCGGGGAATCTCAACTGGCTGGCTGCATGTGCTCCGTTGCATGCAAGAAAAGAGTGGCTGAAGATTTTGAGTGCAGACTGCAGAAGCCACGTCACCTAGAAGCCGAGTAGGTGTTCACTTGGCCCGTCAACCCGTGAGAAGCCTTTGATGATGGCGTCTCCAATTCGCTCAGAGGCTGATCAACAAGGGGGAGGGGAAACCCGAATACGGCCAGCAAATGGATTGAGCATGTGGGTGAGTCGTGACCACCAAGAAACTGCACGAGGATTTCAGCAACAGAAAAAAAATCACCGGCCCAAACAGGCCAACTGGTGCAACCTTGGGACTGACGGTACACTGGTGGCGTCATTCGTTGACCTCGGAGGAACTCAGTACAGGCACCTGAGTACCTGGGTATGGTAGGGTGGGGTATCGGAGGGGGGCAGTACTTCGAAAGGAGGGGCATCATGGATGGAAGGTACCTGCCTAGGGCACTTCAAGTACCTAGTACCCAGTTGCTCAGCAGGCATGGTACGACGGGTAAAGTACTTAAGTAGCTGATTGATTGCCTCGGAGGGTTCTTTTACGGGCAACTGAGGAGGGCACGGCAAGACATGTTGGATATGGAGCACGGGACAGGACATGGGTTGCTGGACAAGCTGGCTCTTTCCTGATGCGCCATGGAAGATGTAAAACTCCAGACGTCGAGATTCGCGATGCTCTGTCGTCCGCTGACAAACACACATGCATGCATGTCCACCGCCAGTCCAACATAGCACCAGAGCCTTTTGCTCTGATTTTCGCGCAGCGAATGAGTCTGGCCGTCTCGCTCGCCG